AAGAGGCCAATTTGGATGTTAAGATTCTGAAGTAATGATACTTACATCCGCACCTGTGTCTAATAAGCCTTTAATAAAAATGCCATTTATACAGACTCAGCTTTGGTCTTTGATTGTCAATAGAAGTCTGCCAAAATATATGCACACTCTGTCCTACTGGATTTTTTTTACTCATCCTCCACATGTAACCCATCATTTAGACTAGTATTGCTTTTTACAGCAGACATTGGAGTTTTTAATTTTCTTGGTGAGACACATTCTCCACAGTAACTGAGAATGACTGGGCCACTTTTGGCTTGGGTGCCTGTGAGAGGCCCCTCTAGGGGTTTCCCAATGGTATCGGGTTGCCTTGTCTGTCTGTTGTTGACCTGCATTTGTTGGCCCAAGGTCGACCTTTACCGCAGCTCCTACATATACCTAAAGGCTGAGGTCTCCTATTTTTCTCATTCCCACAGGAGATATTAGTCCCAGAAATTCTTTGCCTGCAATCCCTTTTCCTATGTCCTAATTTACCACAATTAAAACACCTGGCAGTTTAATGTCACCTCATTGCTTTGAAAATCGCTTCTCCTACCCAAGATTCATCATTTTAACCAAATGTCTCAACATTCATCATATGCTGAATCCATTCATCCATAGGTGCTGATCTAGACCTTAAAGGCCCAATTATCTTTTTACATTCTATGTTTGCATTTTCAAAAGCCAGAGATTCAATAATTATTTGTCTAGCTTCTGGTCTCTTACTCCTATATGCAGAGCCTTAATTAATCTTTGCAAAAAGTCAGTAAAGGATTTTCTCTGTCCCTACCTAACCCTGGTATATGATTCGACCTTTTCACTGGATCTTGTATTCTATTCCAAGCATTTAAGGCTGCTTTGTGACATAGAGACAATACTTCTTCATCATAAAGAGCTTGGACCTGTGGATCAGCATATGCTCCTACACCAAGAATTTGATCTTGGGAAACCTCCATACCTTTTGCTCTTCCTTGCTGTTCCATATGTTTGGATTTTTCTCTGAAATAAATTCCAAACATCAAGGAAGGTCCATCATCTAATATTGCAGACACTAACTAAGAGAAATCATGTGGGGTAGCTCTGACATTAGAAGCCCAAGACCTTATTATTCCCTTAACAAATACAGAGTGCAAGCCATAATTAAAGACAGCTTGCTTAATTTTTTTAGATCATTCATTCCTATTGTCATTCATCTCCATTCTTTGACTCCCTTTGAGCCTTTAGAAGCTGACACTTTGTCAGAGTAAATTACAGGGTATGACACTAAAACCCTGGGCAAACCAGTTCTGATAGCCAGTGGTGATGTTGAATCCTGTCCTTGTGCTTTCTTAGTGTCTGTTCACCAGCTCCAATAATGTCTTTGATTATTTCAAATCTTTTTATCATTGTCTCTCTTAAAGCCTGAATCTCCTGACCTGCATGTGTTTCTAGTGATTTCACTAAGGTATCAATTTTTTGGACCACATTCTGTACCTGTGATTCCAAGGTTTCAACTTTCCCCTTCAAAGATAACATGTCCTCCCAGAACTTTTCTTGTATATCATGTAGATTTCCATCCTAGAGACATTCTGTCTGTTACCTTATCAAAACTTTGTGATAACTTCTGAATGTCAAATTCAACAGCCTGAACCCTTTCAGGTAACTTCCTAGTACGCTTGGATATGGAGTCAATTTTGCCTGTCATAGTATCCACTTGTTCAGATAACCTCTGCTTTTCAATAATTTTAATCCTTTCAACTAGCCATTCATTATTAGTCCATAAAGATTGCATCACTCTTAGGAATGCCATATTCTTCCTTAGTGATAGAATATGGAAAAGAAAACTGAAGCCTAGTAACCAGTAAATTGAGGTAATCCCATAGCCATCCAAACCTCGCATGATATAATCCATTGTATTAGTAAAGAAAGCAGTAGAAGTTGCATTGGAAATGAAAACTGCCACATTACCTATTATCCAGCAGGTGGCGCTATTGCCAAGTCACTCCTAGAACCACTGCAAAGGTGATGGAAAACGGGGTCCTGTTTCAATGTCTGCCTTAGTATTTGTTAAAAACTGGGAAATATGAGTTACTCAACAAACTAAATGTAATTAAATCAATTCCATACATGGAACCAGAAACCCAGAATCCAGGGATAGAGAACAACCCAGAAGCTGCCTATGCTTTCACATGATGGAGTTGCCCAGAGGGGTTGCAGCTTTTGGCAACCACTTGTGCTCTGATTCATGCCACTTAAGTGCTGCGCATGCAAGGGAAATTTAAAAACGACTCAGAAAAGAGCAAACCAGATGGCCAGAGACTGTCCAGGCCTGTGGAGCCTGGGAGGTGTGGAGGTGAGGAGGCAAATGATAGGGTATGTGGGGACTTGAAGCCAATATGAGGCGTGTAAAGAGGAAATATAAAGAATTGCAGCAAGAAAAGCCACTGTGTGATCATTTATATTGAACTGCTGGCTCCACGCACAGGGCACAAGCCTTGGCTGAGGGACGGCTCATGCCAAGTTGAGCTGGCGGCAGGCAGCTGAATGGGAGGAAAGGGGGTTTCAAACATTGGGTGTCGGATAAAGGTGTAAGTCATAAACAATCCCACACCAGTTTGGAATTATGATTAATAGAATGGTTATTTACTTAAAGGGAAAAAACTTACTTATCACCATCCCAGACAACAGCCCTCTGCGCAATCAGGAAAGGCGTCTAGTAGCTGGAAGTGGAGCCGGAAGCAAGAGAGCGAGCACACAGCTACAGCTGCTTTTTAAAGCAAACAAGATCACACCCACGAGGGCTGGTATCTTAAAGTCTATTGGCTGAAGGAGCAAAAGCAGCTCCTGCAGCAATACCTGTAAAATGTTTTTTTAATATTATCTAACATCTCCAATACTTTCACCATTTTAAGCATTGTCTGCCTTACACCAAAGAAAGCAATGCTTTGTTTTTTTTTTTTTTAATTTTCTTTAAGTTTTGAGATTGTAATTAGATCATTTCATTCCTCCAGGACATTAGGTATTACCAAGTCTTTCTAACAACACTAATTCTTTGTAAAAATAATGATATGTTGATATATACATTCAGTGTGCTGCATACTCTACACATTGAAGTTGCATGCATGTTATTTATGTGCCTACAATTCAATGTCTATGGCTAATGAATCCTAGGAAATTTTGATCCTTGAAATTAGCTTTCAAGACGGAGTAAGGTATTTTAAGACGCAAATACCTTAAAAAAAAATAAAACAAGCATAGCAGATCTCAGTAAACCATGGGGGCAAAGGTGAAAAGACAGCAAGGTGTCTAAGGCACAGCCATGTCCTGAGCCTCATCAATTGCTACAGAATCCCCACCACAGGATGTTGCTGCATAACCCTATTATTGAGGTGATTAGTACAAACATCTGTTTACTTCAGATAGGAAACTGACAACAGATATACCACCAAAGTCTGCCTTGTGAACTGAAGAGTTTACTACAGCTCCAGGTGTAGAAGTGACTCAAAGATAAGCGGCAGCATCTAAAGCCTGCCCCAGCATGAGTGCAGGCTCACAAAAGCTGCAAAGCTGGAGCACAATGCACAATGATCTGAGGCTTTTCTGAAGCTCATCTGACCCAAAAGCATTTACAGCAGTCATTACTGCTTCTCTATGCACGGGGAAAGAGAGACCTAATCAATGCGCTCAATTTCAAGGACTTCCTGAAGCATTTAAATTGTTTTCTTCCCAAGCTTAATGAACTTGCTTGGAAAATAGGATAGTATACTTCCCTTTCAAACAATATTTCTCAGCCTGTCGGTCATAACCTGTTTGGGGGTTCAAATGGCACTTTCACAGGAGTCACAAGACCACCTGCATATCAGATATTAACATTACAATTCACAAGTCACAAAATTACAGTTATGAAGAAACAACAAAAATTTTATGGTTGGAGGTCACCATAATGTGAGGAACTCTATTAAAAGGTTGCAAAACTAGGAAGCCTGAGAACCACTGAGTAGGAGTTTCCCTCCTAGGTGAAATGTTTTATCTTAGAGGAAGTTGCTACTCAACAGTTGAAAAGAGGAGAGCAGTCAGTAAGAGAATGAGCATAGGCCAGCACAGTTACTGTTTACACAAGTCTTAACTCAGCTTGACTTGGGAAAGGATGAAAAATTTCAAAGTGACCATTTGAAAGTTTATTTAGTTATAAACAAGACAAAATGAAATAAAAAGATAGGGAAGGGGCTTTGAGAGACCAGTTGCCAGTACCTCAAAGTGGGAGTGTTATATTTTAAGAGAAGTGTGTTAAAAGTGGTGGCCAGGACTTCTCTAGGTTTTTGTCCTTAGTTTTTTTTTTTTTTTTTTTGGAGGGGGGAATCATATGCAGGGTGAAGACAGAAAAACAGAAGCCTATGACTTCTTTTTCATTTGTTTATTATGTATACAATATTCTGTGTGTATGCCTGTTGGCCAGTAGAGGGCACCAAACATCATTACAGATGGTTGTGAGCCACTGTGTGGTTGCTGGGAATTGAACTCAGGACCTTTGGAAGAGCAGGTAATGCTCTTAACCTCTGAGCCATCTCTCCTGCCCAGCCTATGACTTTTCAAAGATCAAATAGAACATGACTTTCATAAATTTTTTCAAAAAAGTGCAGTCCTGAAAATTACTGTGGATAATCATAAGATATGTTATTTTGTAAATTATTCAATGAACATATTAACCTGCAAGGCTGTGTCCATTTTCATTTTCACAAGGGCTGTTACAGATGGACATTTATTTCAACGGCTAATTTACCATAATGCTAAAAACAATTAATTATACTTTTAATGTTCAAAAATGAATATTTGAAACAGCAGCTACATGATTAGGAAAGCAGTCAAGTCAAAGCAATTGTTGCTTGGTTGGTTGGTTTTGGCTGATTGACCTAATGGAAACAAACACTGTCATTGTAAAAATATATCTTGCCCAGCAGAGTTTCTTTCACAAAAAAATGATACAATTACTCTCTTGCATTTAGAAATTTCCTGCACAGAACCAAACATTGAAAACGGTGAATCTCTATCTAAGAAAACAGTTTACAAGGAGAATGAAAGGTATCAGTATCATTGTCAGAAAGGTTTTGTGTACAGAGAAAGAGGGGATGCCATCTGCACAGCTTCTGGATGGAGTCCTCAGCCTTTCTGTGAAGGTAAAGTTATAGTTATTTTCTAAGTCTTTTAATATTTAAGAAGTTGTCCAGTGAGTGGAAAAGAATGATGGCTATAGTCAGACTTTTCTTTGGACTGTCAGCTCACACACACACAAAATTGAAATGGAGATTTATTATTAATTATGAAAACTCAGTCTATAACTTAGTCTTGTTCCATTAGCTCTTATAACTTAACCTGTTTCTATTTACATACAAGTTGCTGTGTGATTCATGGCTTTTACTTCTCCTGCTGCTTGTCTGCTCTCTCTTACTCTGCTGGTAACTATTTTCTTCTCTCCAACTTCCCTCTGTTCCAAGAAGTTCCACCCAATCTTTTTCTGCCTATCTAATGGCTATTCAGTTCATTATTAAACCAATCACATTAACACATTTCACACAATGTAAAAAGATATTCCACAACAGATGATCACACAGATCAATGTTCAGCTGATAGCATTGAGTCTAACCATTTGTTTTCATGGCATGTATCATTTCTAATCAGAGAAGCAATATCTGCAGTAGTCCTCTGGCATTAAACCACTTCCATATGTTTAATTCCAGGTGTCCTCCTAAATAGACCATTTATCCACTAAAAGATCAAAATATAACCCATAAAATGTTATTTTATATTAAGTCATTATCTTGCACTTAAGAACTTTTCAAACAGTTACTTCAGCCTCCAGTGAATTAAGTGCAAGACATGAAAGATTAGAGCCCAGGGAGGTAGAGCACACCTTTAATCCCAGAACTCAGGAGGCAGAGACAGGTGGATCCCTGTGAGTTTGTGGCCAGTCTGGTGTACAAGGGCTAACTAAAGGACAAACTCCAAAGTTACAGAGAAACCCTATCTCGGAAAAAAAAACAACAACAACAACAAAAAAAACATAGAGAATTCAACTCTGATATATGTGTGTGTGTGTTATTTGGTGTGTCATGACTATTACACTGAAGCCCAATGGTTCCATATTTTTCTCAGCCACTTAACCACTTAACGAAAGACTCTTCCTTGGCATTTGTTTGCCTTTAATTTGAGAAATATGTATGGTTCCAAAGTATGCTTTTGCACATCCTAGGTTTGCTTCTTTTGAAAGAGAGAGTGGGAATGGAAGGAAAGGGAGATTCTACATTTAATTTTATTTTTAAACATTTCTCAAACAAAATTACAAGTCAAATATTAAATGTTTAACTCTGTGTTCTTTAATTTTTCTCATTAACGAGAGAGTTAACAGATGGTACTCTAACAAGAAAGTAAATAGCAGTTTGATAATATAAATATAGAGACCTGCAGTAACTCATATAAGCATGCAAATCTCTTACAATGTGCTACATTTTACTGAGTGAACAGAACCTCAATCTCCCTGACACCACATAACTGAAAACTTACTTTGTCACAGTTAGATTCACAAGAAGCTTGGAATCCATAAGTGATCAAAATTCAAACAAGATAATATAAAACTTCCTTCCAGATATTCATAACCAGACTAGGGATTTCAGAACAACTTCTAACCATATTTTTTCTGCAAAACAAAAGGCATAGCTTCCAAATTCAGTAAGTTGTTCCATGTAAATCAGAAAATACATTTACTTCAATGAGGAAGGGCTGAGAAATCTTCACAACTATTCAGAAGCAAGAATTTGTGAATATTAATAAATAGGCCTAATGAGAGTCTGAGACTAACAATGACAATCAAAAAAATAGAAAGTGGAAGACACTGTTAACCTTATATATGATGAAGTTATTGCCGGTTATGGAATCAAGAAGCACTATATGTGGTGGCTTCAAGAAAGAAAAATTTTTACCAGAGAGGTGTAACATGAGAGCCTGCTTGTTGGGGTTTCTGTCCTGCCCAGTTCCCATAGTCGTTAGGTCCCAAAGAATCACACATAAGTCTCCATAAATTATAAACTGATTGACCCATTAGCTCAGGTTTCATATTAGCTCTTATAATGTACATTAGCCCATTATTCCAGTATATGTTAGCCACAGACTCAGTACCTTTTTCAGTGGGGCAGGTCACATCCGGATTCTTCAGTGACTGGACAGGACTGGGAAAGGAGCTTCCTTCTTCCCAGAATACTCCTGTTTTCATTGCCCTGCCTCTACTTCCTGTCTGGTCATCCTACCTACACTTCCTGCCTGGCTACTGGCTAATCAGCATTTATTTAAAATATAATTGACAGAATATACACGATTGTCCCACACCAGAGAGGCACAAATCCATCAGGAGGAGAGAGAAAAAGCCATACTGATATGTGAAGCATAAGTAGATGTGCTTATTTTAATGTCATTTTTACATTTATCAGTGCAGGTAAATAGTATCTGCCATTTAATGTCCATATTCTTCAGTTTAATGAGAATTAAATATTCCTCTAGCTGGGCAGTGATGGCACACACCTTTAATCCCAGTTCTAAGGAGGCAGAGGTAGGCAGATCTCTGTGAGTTCGAGGCCAGCCTAGTATGTTAGAGATAGTTCCAGGATATAAGTGCTGCAGACTCTAAGAAATCACAGAAGCCAGTCCAGATTACTATGGTTGGCAATATTTTAATCACCGTAGATGGGGAAAATAAGGTACTCTATAATAAAGTCAAATTTAAACAATATCTATCTCAGAATTTAGCCCTACAGAAGGTGCTAGAAGAAAAACTCCATCCCAGGGGTTACCTACACTCATGAAAACACAGGAAAACTCAGGGCTGGTACACAGAGAAACCCTGTATTGAAAAACTAAAAATAAATAAATAAATAAAAATAAATAAATAAATAGATTCCTCATTATTTGTATATGTTTCTTTTCAGAAAAGATATGCCATCCTCCTTCTCTTGCAAATGGTGACTACACACCTTACAGAATTAAACACAGAGCTGGTGATGAAATCGAATATACATGTAAACATGGCTTCGCTCCTGCAACACAGGAAACTCATGTCAAGTGTACGAGTACTGGCTGGATCCCTTATCCAAGATGTACCTGTAAGCTTTTTTACATATTGAATCCCCATAATTGTTGTAGAAGGCCACTTTTTGGTTTCCTGGCTGCCCAGACTCCCAAAATAACCACACAGAAACTGTATTGATTAAATCACTGCTTGGGCTATTAGCTCTAATTTATTATTGGCTCACTTTTACATCTTAATTTAACCCATTTCTATTAATCTGTGCATCACCACAAGGTCATGGCCTACCAGAAAAGTGTCAGTGTGTCTTTCTCCAGCAGCAGACCCAAGGTGTCTCTCTTTTTACATCTACGTTCATATGGGAATGTGATCTGCAATTCTCTTTCTTTGTTGAGTTCTCATGTGGTTTGGGTATCAGGGTTACTCTGGCTTATGAAATGAATTGAGCAATGTTATTTTTCTGTGGAATAATTTGAGGAATATTATTAATTCTTTGAATGTCTGCTAGAATTGTGCTCTAAAACAATCCTCTCTTTTTTTTAAGACTGCAGTTATTTCTATAGGGGTTATAGGTCTATTTAAACTGTTTATTTAATCAATTTTGATTTAACTTTGGTAAAATTATAGAGAAAATTTTTCATGTCTTTTAGATTTTCCAATTTTAAGAGTTCAGGTTTTATAAAATGTCTCTATATGATTCTGTTTTTTCTAGTTGTCCATTGTTATGTTTCTCTTTTTGTTTCTGATTTTTTGTTTATTTGGATATTCTCTGCCTGCCTTTTGTTAGTTTAAAGAAAGGTTTCTGTATCCTGTTGATTTCCTCAAAGAACCAACTCTTTTTTAAATGATTTTTTGTACTGTCTTCTTTGTTTCCATTTTATTGAATTCAGCCCTCTGCTTGCTTATTTCTTGCTATTTTTTACTCCTGTTGAGTGAGTGTCCTTATTTCTTTTCATTGTACAGCTTTGAGGTGTGCTGTCATGTTGCTAGTATGAAATCTCTCTACTTTTTATCTAGGCACCTACCTTTATGTACTCTCCATTTGTTTTACTTTCATTGTATCCCATAAGCTTGAGTATGCTGTGTATTCCTTTTCATAGAATCCTAGTAAGTTGATAATTTCTTTCTTTATTTTTGCCTGGACCCAGTAACCATTCAATGCAGAGTTGTTCAGATTCCATGAGCCTGTGAGCTTTCTGTTGTTTCTGCTGCTGTTAGATTGACCTTTAGTCCATGATAGGATGCATATAGTTATATCAGTTTGCTTATATCTATTGAGACTTGCTTTGTTTCTGAGTATGTGGCCAATTTTGGAGAAAGGTCAATGAGTAGCTGAGAACAAGATATCTTCTTTTATTTCTGGGTGAAGTATTCTGGAAGTATTTTAGGGAGATTTGATTTATAATGCTTTTTATGTCCAGTTTTCTCTGTTCAGTTTTTGCCTAGATGATTTGTCCAATGGTAAGTGTTTGAAGGTCATTATGGTATTTCAGCTATAGTAGTACTCCTTTTACAAAAGTAAGTGTCCTTGTGTTTGGGGCATAGATATCAAGAATTGAAATGTCATCTTGGGGGATTTTTCTTTTGATGAGTATGTTGTATCCTTTATTTCTTTTGATTAATTTTGTTTTGAAGTCTATATTGTTAAATATTAAAAATGGCTACACCAGCTTGCCTTTTAGGATCATTTTGTTGGAATACTTTCTTTCGAATCCTGTATGGTGAGGTGTCCTTTATGTATGCAGCAGAAGAATGGATCCTGAATTCAAGTTTATCTCTTAATCTGTGTCTTTTTGTTGAGGAATTGAGTCAATTGATGTTGAGAAATATCAATGACCAATGATTGTTTATTTCTGCTATTTTGTTGTCATTGTCGCTAATGGTGTATGTATATGTGTGGTGCATGCGTGTGCAAGCGCATGGTTCCCATTCTTTGGTTTTACTGATATGAGATTATTTATTTCCTGTGTTTTCATGAGTATAGGTAACTCCTGAGATGGAGTTCTGTTTCTAGCACCTTCTGTAGGGCTAAATTCCGAGATAGATATTGTTTAAATTTGATTTTATTATAGAGTACCTTATTTTCTCCATCTACGGTGATTGAAATATTGCCAACCATAGTAATCTGGACTGGCTTCTGTGGTTTCTTAGAGTCTGCAACACTTATATCCCAGCCCTTCTTGCATTTAGAGTCTCCATTGAGATGTCAGATGTATTTCTAAATAGGTTTTCCTTTATTTATTACTTGGTCTTTTTCCCTGGAAGTTTTTAGTATTCTTCCTTTGCTCTGTATATTTAGTGTTTTGATTGTTATGTGGTGAGAGGACTTTCTTTTCTGGTGTGGTATAATTAGTGTTTTGTGTTCTTCTTGTAAATTTATAGGTATGCCTATCTTTCTATCAGAAAATTTTTCCTCTATTAATTTATTGAAAATATTTTCTGGGCCTTTGAGCTGAGATTTTTCTCCTTTCTCTCCTGTTATTCTTAGGTATTGGATTTTTTTCATAATGAATCAGATTTCTTAGATGTTTTGTATCATGAATTTTTTTAGATTTAAAATTTTCTTTGTCTGATGTTTTCATTTCTTCTATTGTATCTTCAACGCCTGAAAATCTCTTTTACATCTCTTGTTTCGGGTGGTGAAGCTTTCCTCCACAGATTCTGTTTAAATTTCAAAATTTTTCATTTACAGAATTCCCTTTATTTGTGGTTTTTCTTATTTAATTTCCATTTTCAGTTCTTGAGCAGTTGTATTTGTTTACTCTACTGTTTGTGTGTTCTTTGATTCCTTAAGGTATTTATTCATTTATTCATTCATTCATTGTGTTTTAGTGGATTTCTTTAAGGGATTTATCAGTTTCTTCCTTAAGAACCTATATTATCTTCATACAAGTGGTTTTAAGGTCAGTTTCTTATGCTTCAGCTATGTTGGAATATTCAGGGCCTCACATTATAAAATAGTCAGTTGCATTTTAGTGGAGACTTATCGCCCAGACAGTTGTTTTTTCTACGCCTATGCATGTGGTTTTGGGGTAATTATAAGTCTAAGTTATGATTTCTGTATTTGTCTTTGCTGGATGGGTGTTTTGTTCCTTGGTTTTTGTTTGCTCAAAGGAGTTTTGAAGAGTAGGATGAGTGTGTTTTGCTTATTTTCCTGGCCTGCTCAGCTGGTATGCTCACAGAGAACTTGGCTTAATAGGGAAATGCCTTTGGGAATTGAGGGCTGGGACAAAGCAAAGTGTGTAGCAAGCAGAAGAGAAGAGGAAAATTTGTGGGATCCATAAGAGTTGGGAGCTGGGGGAGGATACAGAATACTATCATGGATGTTCTGCTGCAGACCTAGGGTTGAGACTGTGGAAACACAGAGAGAAGACAAAGCCTGCACACAGCCTTCCTATTGTTCTGGCAAGCAAGGCCTGTGGGATAGCAAAGGGCACCTACTTGATTGGGGCTGAGATAAAGAAACAAGTAGGGAAGGGGAGGTAAAAAGGGGATCATCTGTAAGATCCAGCAAAAGATGTAGGGGGGAGGGGTAAAGAAGGCTGCAGCTGATGTTCTGTTGCAGTGCAGAGGAAGAGACGTAGGAATTGGTTTGGAGGTAAGGAGGAGTGGTGAAGGTCTTCAGTTAGCTTACTGGTTTCCCTGTCCTGCTCAAATGTTCCCAGTGAGTGCCTACTGGTATCTGAGACTGGAATACTGGGGTTATATTTAGGGAAGGAAAATAGGGAGAAAAGTGCTTATTGATCTATTGGGGATTTCAATGACTTCATAACACACATGCAGCACAATGTCATTGAGTCAAGATTTGTTATTTCAGTATACTTCTTTCATTCCTTTAAGGTTTTTGCCTATCTGTATCCATATTCCTTTCTTCCTATCTAGAAGACACTGTTAAATGTATATCATGCCTAAGCTTGGTATCCCTTAAGCCAAACAAACAAACCCTACAGTGACAAAAGAGTGATCAAGAATCTCTTTTTAGTCACTTTCTGTCTCTGTGTCAATATTACTGAAAAAAAAAAAAACTTTGAACAAGGGCTTATTTACAGTTTTGGTGACTTTGATGACTTGGGTTCATTGCCAGAGAGTCCCACCACTTTAAGCCTGTTACAGGCATAGCATTATTTCAAGGAATGAGTGCTAAAGCAAAGCTGTTTCCCTCCTGCCCACCAGGAAACAAAGCTATAAATGACTGGTCAAGATTCCAATATGCCTTCATTGCACAGCCCCAATGATATCACTTATTTCAACCAGAGTAGCAACTTCTGAACTTTACAGCCTCTCCCAAAATCACCAGCAATGAGAAACCGAGCTTCCACTAAAGTGAAAACATATGAGATCCAAACCATAATAAAAAAAAAAAAGAAAGAGGCTATTTTCAGTAAGAAATATCATTAATGTATGAGAATTGTAGGGAAAAATTAATGATCTTTCAATATTTTGTTTTTTAATATTTATGTCTTTAACAATTTATTACATTATATAAAACATTCTGGATATCCTATTTTCATATTTTTACACATCCCAGCTCTACCAACACCTCATAATTGCATGTCTTTCCCCCAGATTCTTAAGTTTGAGATTTGATGAGTGGTATATACAGTTTAACAAAGGACATATATGTAATAGTTGGATTGGTACTGTCTTTTGGAAGTACTAGTTTAGTCATTAGTGGGAATACACTTGAAATCACTGACTCACTTTTTTTTCTGAATCAATCTGATGAAATAGTTTAGAGATGAGGGCCACAGTTCCCCAAGAGTTTACCCCATTTGTGCCTGGATGTTGATGGGTCATTCTTGATCAAGTCTGCAGACATCTGTACATGTTCATCTGTAGATATAGTTTGTTATTATAATGGCTCTGAATAGTCCAGAAGATATTTCACAGTCATGATGACCTCATTCTTGCTCTTAGAATCATTGTACTCTTCCATCCACATGTTCCTTGACCTTTTGAGGGATGGTGTAAATGCCTTGTTTAATGATGACCTCACTCTAAAACTCCTAGTACTTGTGCATTAACAGGTCTTTACATTTATTATTGTTTACTGCTTCGAGAAACATCTCTGATTGATGTTGACAGTGTTGATTAATCAAACTATGAACATATATATTCAGAAGATTATTCAGTGTTATGTCAGTTTATCATAATAATAGGATTAAGTTCCCCCTAGATCTCATGACATACCTGCCATGGGCTTTTGAGTTGGTTTACAATTACAAGCGTGAAACCTGCATACTGCAGTGAACCTCAAACCCAAAATTCACAATCCAAATCTCCCCAAAGGTACCTGCTATGTCTGTGGCCTACATATATCTGAATATGAGTTTTTTTTTTTCACAGCAGAATTTCTGATGTTTTGCTGGATAAAATAAAGATGACAAATCTCTCTGTAATGTCATTAAATACCTTTTCTACTTAAAATGTCTAGTGCTCTCTTCTCAGGCCTGTCAAATTATTTATTTTTTTTCATCAAATGTTTTTCAGTTTAGGGGATAAAACAGTATAAATTCAAAACTGAAGCAATACAAAGGATGGTGATCATGAATCTTCATTAGAAGAAAATTTATGAATTTATATTTTGTGCCACATTGAATCTGAAGTAGGATGAAATTTATCAGTAATAATTAGGAAATCCTATGATAGATCAAAAGATGAATCGTGCTAGTACTTAAAGTAGTTGAAAATTAGTAAATATATTAATCAATGTTGTGAGTAGCCTGAATCAAAACTCTGATGAACAAAACCATCACTGCTGAAGGGCCAAAACCTGCATCTGGAAAAGTACAATATTCAAATGGGGCAGCTGTAAGTACTGACTACCTCTGCTGGTCATTTACTTTGAGAAATATTGATTTGTTTTGATGAATCACTTATAAAAGAGACAAAGACAGATTTGTCTTTGCCCCCATGAGAAAGAAGATTAATTAAAAGGTAGAGGAATGTGTCTAAAAGGCTATAATATTCCTAGTTTAAACCATGTCTCCTTTTAGAACCCTTTAGAAAGAAATCTCAGCAAGTTAATTTAATTTCTTGATGTCCTATGAAAAGTAAAATTCTCAAATTTTAAAGAAGGACACTCAAGATAAAAAGAATTAAATTTATAAACCATTCAACAAATGTATGTGTGCATGAACAAGGAAGCTATAAGTGATTTCTGTGTTTGGACATGTATTAGAGGAAATCTTTAACATACCACCTGAGGGTCCCGGAAGTAGAATCATACTATACTACATAGAAAATTATATACTGTATTAGGAGCAGTGCGCCACTGTTGTAGTAATAGTGGTGAGGCTGCGTCCCCGGCACCTGGCCGCTCGCATGGCTAGATTATGCCCCAAAATAATTACACAGAAACTGTATTTTTTAAACACTTCCTGGACCATTAGTTCCAGCCTCTTATTGGCTAGCTCTTACATATTGACCTAACCCATTTCTAATAATCTGTGTAGCCCACGAGGTGGCTTACCAGGGAAGATCTTAACCTGCAGCTGTGTCGGGAGTGAGAATCATGGCGACTCTCTGACTTAGCTTCTTTCTCCCGGCATTCTGTTCTGTTTACTCCACCCATCTAAGGGTTGGCCTATCAAATGGGCCGAGGCAGTTTCTTTATTAATTAACCAATGAAAACAACAGATTAGAAAGAAATCATTCCCACATTAGGCCACTTCCCACTGCCTAGCTCCCGGGTAGTTTGCCAGAAATAATTACACGGAAACTGTATTTATTTAAACACTGCCTGGCCCATTATATCTAGCCTCTTCTTGGCTAACTCTCACAACTTGATTAACCCATTTCTAATAATCTGAAAATCACCACTTGACTGTGGCTTATTGGGATGAGTATAACCTAGATCCATCTCAGAGAGGAGAGCCATGGCATCTGCCTGACTCTGCTTTCTTTCTCTCAGCATTCTGTTCAGTCTACTCCACCTAAATGTTGTTTTATCAAAAGGCCAAGGCAGTCTCTTTATTTGACCAAGGCAACACATAGAAAGAAAACCCTCCTACATCAATTATACTATCCTGATATTAAAATATTTATTAGTTACAAATAAGAACATAATGAGGAAAAAATTAATGAAACATTACATATAAATTTATTAATGCAAGAAACCATATATAATTCAATATGAATTTACAAAAATAGTTCACTGTGAATTAATCACATTATATTTCAGTTCTGATAAGAATTATAAATATTCAATTATCATACTGGATATTAACAAATATCCCTGACCCGCTTCTCTGGTAACATGTGAGGAATAACTTGATTTCCTGAGGAAAAACCTCCTCACATACCTCAGCAGTCTGGATTCTATCTGTCTCCTTCTCTGAACACTCTCTAGACTTACAGTTATTGTAATTATTAGAAACTAATTCACTGATTGAGTTGTTTATCTCTGATATGAGTGTTTTTTGTCTTTTTGTTTTTATTGCAAGTTCAACCTTGTGATTTTCCACAAATCAAAAATGGAGAACTATATGATGAAAAGAGGCACAGACCCTACTTCCCAGCACAAATAGGAAAGGAGTACTACTATCACTGCAAACCAGGATTTTTAACTCCCTCAGGGGAATACTGGGAAAAAATTCGCTGCACTGTACAAGGATGGGAGCCTGCAGTCCCATGCCGCAGTAAGTCAATGTCTGTATTAAATCAGGTTTAATTCTGTCAAAGTGGAAAGAGCATACATAATTACAGTTGGGTCTGTTCTGTTAAGAAACAGAAGAGTTTGTGAGCAAAAAGACTAGTTTCTGTCCTTTATGAATAGCTCTTTATAAAACGTATGTGAAAAATAGGGACTATGAGAATACCTTTATTGTTTGCATATTTTACAAAAATAAAGACAATCCTACTTTTTGAAACATTTGATATTGTTTTCATTTTTTAATGTCACATACTTATTTAATTATTGTAAAGATAAACTTTAATTTTTGAATAAATAAATGAGTGTTGTTTGCTTTTAGTATAACATTTATGGTAAATTATGGTCTTTAGGGTTGTGTGGAACCCATTATATAAAGAATGGGGAATTTTTACAACAGAGAAGAAACTACCTACAGGATCAGTCTGTAAGAGTCCGGTGTTACTCTGGCTACAGTCTCCCAAATGGTCAGGACACAGTTACATGTACAGAGAATGGCTGGTCTCCTCAACCCAGATGCATTCCTGTCAGTAAGTAACCAACTCTGAGATCACAAGATGCTCTTGTGTCCCCATTCCATGTATATTAACTGTGTCAAAATGTTCCTTTTTGAATGTGTATAAGCGAATACTAAGGATTCTTGGCAATATAGCAGTGTAAACACAACTATCAGCCATTAAAACAAAATATTGAGTAAACTTTGGTTAACTTACACTTCTATAAACTTTGAAATCCCTTTGTCATTGGATTCAAAATAATTTTTAAAATATAGTTTAAAATTAACCAAATATGATCATACCTACACACATCTTTCATATATTGAAGTAGTAACATGTCATTTTAAAGAATTGATAATTGCCTTTGAATCCTTTGTAAAGTGTAACTGGGAAGGGAATTCTGATATATGGTGTATTGTCTAGATTTTATGTTTTTTCCAATCTCTAGACTAATAGGTTTCTACTGACAATTACTTCATATTCTATGTTCTTTAAGTGACTGTGCGGCGTCATACTTTATTTTGTGAATAAATGTCTGTAAAATGATAAGCATAATAGTGAATATTTGAATTTCTTTCCTTATCATTTGGGTTTTAGAAATATAATTCTAAGCCAATTTGCAATAAACAATTTTCAGGGGTAGTTTTTTAAGTCAGTACACTTGTAATTAGTTTGCTCCAATATTAAGAATTCTAACAATCAGAGTTGCATGTATTCTTTATTTAATATAGATTTTCAACATCTTTTAAATAACTTTGGTTAGATTTAAAGACATTATTTTGAATTTGTGGAATAATTTTAAAATAATTAATTATATAATCATATTGAGTCTTCCTATTTACAAATTTAATATATATTTAAAGGTTTAATCTGTTTTTGAATGTTTGTCAACTGCCTTCTATTGTACCATTTTGCTGATGAGAAACTTTTGTTTGCATTATTTTTTTGGTACTGTCCATTATACATTTAATCTCTAAGAAATTGTATATTCAGTGATTTAAATTTTTATATGATTAATATTAGTGGCCTGTTTAAAATTTCTACTGAGCTTTTATTTGATAGCCTCTCCACCATGCTGGTTTTGCTCATATTTTTAATTTTATGAATTCTTTCTAGTGTCTTTGTTCATAGTGCTGATCTATATGAAAACACTGATTTTTCATATTTCTGTGTCTTTTCAGTTTATAAAAATCCTATCCAGCCTTTTGGATTGGAGAGGGAGGGGGAGAGGAGTGGGGGGAGGGGGAGAAGAGTGGGGGAGGGGAGGGAAATGGGAGGCTGGGAGGAGGCGGAAACATTTTTTTTCTTATTCTCAATAAAAAAAATCCTATCCAGGTAAAATGCTTCAGCTTTATTTCTCCTAGAAACTCAGAGAGATCTTAAAACAACTGACAGTTTCATAAACACTTTCACAGAACTCATCTGTGAAAAATTATTTCTATTCAGGAATATTTTAAATATGTTTTGAGTTCAGGTCAGTGGCATTGACAAATGAGTGTGCTTATATGAATACAACCCATCAAGTTAAACTAGTCTTAATCTAATGAAGAATTTCTTTTGTTCCCTTTCTCTTCAACTCTATCACCATAAGTAATAACATTTATGTTACTGTAGTGCTGTATTTCTACTTCTTCATATCAATAGATTTAAGTATCATGTTTTCAAACCTAATTCCATAAATTTTCAGAAGTATATCTTCTAAGGTGTGACTTGTATAGTAACTGAATTTTATTGTTGAGAAATAATTTTGCATAGATACATAATAATTTAGTTGTATATACCATTTTAAGAAACATATTCACTATTTTAGATCTTAACAATTTTTGAGCCATTTATGAAAATTTAAAGGTATGTCATTGGATTAAAATTTATAGTGTATTTCTTAGATAAATATCTAAAACTGAAATTTATGAGTAATTTAGTATGTGCTTAATTCAGTCTGTAAGAATCTGGCATATGGATTTTTAGGATATTTGGGACTTTTTGCATTCGTAACAACAATGAGCAAGCTTCAGTTGACTTATTTCCCTCTAAATATCAAGAGAGTGAGATTTTATAATCTAAAGATTTCAGACTAGGAGTGTATTATTTACTTTAATTTTATCTTCCTAGTGGCTAAAAATAGCAATTATCTAAGAATATCCCATTCTAGTTGCGTGTTTTCTTTTATAATTTATTTTATAACCTTTTCCATATCTAGAGTATGATTCTTTTATCAAATTTTTGAAGATTTAATGACATTGTAACTGAAATGGGGCCTGCTTGTTGAGGTTTCTGTCCTGCCCAGTTCCCCACAGCTGTTTAGCCCCAAAGAAAATCATACAGAGATCTCTATAAGTTATAAAACTGATTGGCCCATTACCTACAGCTACTTATTAGCTTTTGTAGCTTATATTAACCCATTATTGTGATCTATTTTAGCCATATGGCTCAGTACCTTTTTCAGCTGGAAGGTTACTGCTTCCTCGGTGATCTGCGCAGGACTGGGAAGAATCAACTTCCTCCTTCCTAGAATTCTCCTGTTCTCATTGCATCATTTCTACTTTCTGTCTGGTTTTCCCGCCTATACTTCCTGCCTGGCCAATCAGCGTTTATTTAAAACATGATTGACAGAATATAGACAATTCTCCCGCACCATGACATGACTCATGAGTTTCTAGTCGTTATTTCCAGTAACTTTATATTGACACTCAGAGGCCCAAGTAAATATTTGTGAATTATTTTTGTTTATGTAGAAAATTTAAAAACAATTTTAATTTTTTGAGAATTTTCTTTTTATACGTCTTTGAAAATTTTATAAAATGTTTTATTGTATTTACCTATCCTCAACTATTCTTTGTTATGTGTCCCCTCTTCTACCCTCCAAACTGTGTGTCCTCTTTTCTCCTCCTCCTCCTAAATTAAATATTTAATTTATTAAATTAAATAATAGTTATCATTTTATGTGTATGAGTGCTCTCTCTGCATGCATGTATGCAGGCTAGAAGATGGCATCAAATCCCATGGAAGATGGTTCTGAGCCAATTTTTAGTTGCTGGAAACTGAATTTAGGACCTCTGGAAGAGCAGCCCTTACTCTTAACTACTAAGCCATCTCTCCATCCACTTTCTTTTCTTCTTAAAAACAATCCATGAAGCACAATTTATGCTGTTTCTATTTTTGTATGTGTGGTATTAAACTGAAGAGTAGTTGATTTACCAGGGCTATGCTCATAAAGAAAATCATTCTCCCTTTACCATCAGCTGCTAGGGGTGGGATTATGTGTTCCCTACCACCAACTGTAGGCAGAGACTGCTCGTTCATTTCCCTACTGCTCAGATCTGAATAATCACACTGAAACTATAATAATTACAACATTGTTTAGTCAATGATTCAGGAATATTTCTAGATAGCTCTTACATCTTGAATTAACCCATTTCACAACCACTCAGAATTCACATGTACTCCTTCCTTGCTGTGTTTAAAAAATACTGCTTCCCGGTAATCATGTACCTTTTCTGGCCCTTCTACGCTTTCTGCTCCTTGAGTTTTGGTAATAGAGAATGTGGTAAAGATATCCCATATAAGGTTGAATATTCGAGTCTTATTCTCTGCATGTTGATCACTTGTAAGTATGTGTGTTAAATAAACTCAACTACAAATAGAAGGTCCTCTAGTGAGAGTTGAGAGGTATGTTAATTTACTGAAATTTCATCAAAATTCATCTCTCATACGCAAGTACTGTATATATAATTTTATTTTCTCTCTTCTCCTATATACTCTCCTCTTTTCCTCCCTCTCAAATTCATGACCTCTTCTTTTTTAAGTATAATTTTTCACACAAATGTATGCTCGTGCATGCACACACATACGCATACACCCTACCGAATCCATTCAAGGGCTTCTTCTATAATATACTTAAGCCTTAGGCATACCAGTTTTCTTGAAGATTAACTGGAATTTGTCAACCCATAGTCAGTTGTTGTCTGCACTTAGACCTGTTGTGTATTTCTGCATTAACCTCCTTTTTGTTGCAAATACTGAAGTTTCTTTGATAATGGGTAGGAATGAGAGTACTGGGGACACAGAACAGGATGATGACAGGTTCCTAGTAGCCCTGCCAGAGACCAGGCCTTAGTTTCAGTTTACTAAAACTATCTGGAGCTGTTCAAGCAGTTCTCAGGAAACCATAATCTAGGGACCACCAATCAGCAGGTGACCCACAGCCTTCTGCTTGCTAAAGATAGCTTTTCCTATCCTGTCGCTGGAAAGTTCCTAACCCCTAGATAATCCTATAACAACCCATAACAATCCACCAATCAACCCCTAGACTAATTTCTCCTCCTTGGAATTCTCCTAACACCATTAAAAAGGAGTCAGGAAGCTTCTCTCTGGACTGCAATTTGCTGCTTTGTCAGGTGGTCAGATGCCTACATGTAGATAATTTTTAATAACTGCTTTTGCTGATAGCAGACATGATGGGTGGTCTTTTACGGAACATCTCATGGATGCTAACAAGGGCAGCACATATCTGTGTGTACAGGTATAAGTATTTACATTACCATTAGAAACAGTATTGGTTTAATGAAGTGGTGGTAATAGGTTCTCCTCTAGGGTAGTTTGCTACATTATTTTCACCAGGTATAAATTCCTGCTTAATGCTTGGGACTTAGATCCCAAGCATACAGTCATTGGTTACCACACACACACACACACACACACACACACACACACACACACATATATATATATATATATATATATATATATATATTTCACTATTTCACAATTAAGAATGTCTTATTCTGCTAGTTATTGTGGTTTTATAGGCTTTACAGGTAGAGAGGGCTTTATTTGCTTTTCTCCCTTTGCAGGATGGATTTGCTAGATCCTTTGTAGACAGATGTTAGTTTTCTACAGCTGTGAATTCACACATGCAGATTCTGAGGAACTAGCTTTTTCATATCTTGAGATTCTAAGCCTTTAGTGTTGGCATCTCAAGCAAAAAAAGCTGAAAACATTCTTTCTTTTGCTCATTTGCCATCTGCATGTTT